TAAATTATAATACTATGTGATTAAACCACTTTCGCTCCAAGTAATCAAAACGTTTGTCCCTTGTTAACAATTTGACTTTGGCTAAAAGTTCAACTGAAGAATCAGCTGTTTAGTTAAAATTCAATTTGAAACCGTTATAAAGAAACGTTGGTCAACATCACTGAATCTTTGAAAGCGAAATAAAACACACGCTAGGGGCGAAGCCCTAATGGAAATGCCCTTTTTAATTACAATTCGTCCCTCCGCTAAATCATAAGCTTTTAAAATGGCAGTCGTAAAAATCGGTTAAACACAGAAACCCCTTGTTGTATTAAGTATAATGATAGACATAAGATTGATGACATATCAATATAAAGATGTGACACCCAACAATAGTCTCGTTGAGCCGACGTTATGACAATAATACATGATTCACTCGTATGACGGATTTCCCATTCAAATAGAGACAATGTTACATTTTAAAATAGACATATCCCAATCTCTGTAAACGTCACACTTCACGATGACCTTGGGGGCCGCTAGTGGCGCTAGTGTTACGTTATCATATCAGCCAGCGGATGTGTTCAAGCGTACTGTGACGTAAGGAAATTCCCTACTCGAGCAACATGCGACACTGCCTATCTTATGTTTACATTATGAGTCTAGGTTGATACAGCTACAGATACAGAATCTTACTTATTCCTCAAATCAATGATTCAGTCGTAAATTCACTACATGGTTGTACAGTATAATTGACCAGCTGTATAATTCATCTGATATGTTTGTGGTAAACAAATATTTTCTCCCTAAGGATAACATGAGAACTTACAGACTACTAGAGCAGAGCCCTGATGGAGTTTTGAAAATTGTATTCAACACAAACATCCCCGGACTCATATATAGCAACCTAAAGTTTCATCACTATCGGATGGCTGGTTAAGGTAACGCGTAAAGGACAAATATACACACGACAAACAGACATATATAAATCTGAAAGTTTGTGAGTTTTTTGTGAGTCTGTTCCTCAGTCACGCATAAACCACTAAACGGATTGGGCTGAAATTTGGCATGATGATAGCTCACATTCCCGATTAACATTTAGGCATATCTTTACCTCAAGAATCCTTTCGGGCTCCGCCCCAGTGGCACTGTAGTTCCCCATGTTAACCTTATGAGTATTCATATTTAAAGGGAATTAAAGAATTTAGTCAGCTGTCAACTAAAAAAATTGGTTCTATGATATGCAAAAGCATTAAAAGTTATAAGATTTACCAACAGGGTGCAGCATTATAATTTTTTCTGCATTTATGAAAACAGCTAATTTGAGATATTGACTATTTGAACTAAGCAGCAACAAAAAACTATGATATGCAATGATAACTGTCAAAGTTGGACTCCTTACAGTTATGTTTATGCTTTTAATTTCATGAAGAATTTGTGATATTTTGCAAATTTTTAAAAATTGTTTCTCTGTTGTTTAGGTGAAGTGGTAGAACATTATGGCAATGGTAGATATGTAATACTAAAGTATACCGTAAATTTAAAGAAGCAAATTTTATCAAAATGTGTCCTCCCAAATTGCAAACGTAAAGCTTGAGTATAACGGCAATAAACATTTTATACTTATATGCCCCCCCCCCGTGTGAAGGACGGCTACTCTGCTAGTTGGATTATATGTATTGTATGAAATTTTTTCGTTTCATTTTGTAATGTTTATTACAATGCCTCATGGCTGATTAAAAGAATCTATTATAACAGGCTTCTTTGCAAAATTGTTTAAGTTTATCATATATTTTGATACCATCATTAAAATAAAACAACATTTTTTGTTCTATGTAAATATTTATTGGCAAATCTAGACGTTTTAGCTTAAAACACACGATTTAAATAATTGTAGATAGTATATTGTCAAAAGCTTAATTTTCGTTGATAAATCAAATTCGAATAACCACAGATCGGAGACACAAATCCTTTGGAAAGACTAAAGAGAAGAAAGGAATGTAGACCTACTGTAAGACCCCACCTTTTCAACGTACTAATTAATTATTTATTAAAGATATAATCATAAACCAACATCCTACATAGATGAATATTGATGTAGCGCCACATTTCCACTGCAGTTCCTTACACAAGGCAATGCAAAAATTTTATATGGCGTCCAATATTGATTTTTATATGTTCATACAATTGCAAAACAGTGTCAGTCAACACAGTACTTTTAATAAGTAAAAAACCATACTATCCCGGTTCACCGACCGTATAAATCGAGTTCGATATGCGATTGCTATTAGAAACCGGTTCAAAACGCGTACACGCACTGGAGTGGGGGAGGGGGAGGGAACTGGTTGTCGTTGTAACAGTGACGTCAATTACCTGGGAAACTTCTCTCCAGGAGTGACGTCAAACCTCAATAGAGGAGAAACCACGGAGTGAGTAGTGCAAAGCTGTAGGGTAACTGATAACTCCAGCAAAACTCCCCTTCGTCACTTTAACTGTTGGTTTCTAATATTAGTGAATTACAAAATACATCCGGATAAAATATGGCTCGTATTGGAAAGTGTTTGTCTCAAGAGTGGAAAAATACGCCGATTTTGTTTGCCCTCAAAAAGTCTCGTAAAATTTCGGAGTTTTTAGTGGATTAGGGATAAAAGAACTCGCCTCAAAAAATTGTTTGAGAGAATAATGTTATTTATTAATAAATCTAAGGCAAAATAGAGTAAGACATGTACTAATAAATTAGTAAAATATTGCATCGTTCTCGAGGGGGTGTAAAATGTACCACTTGTGTGTGGGAATGGCAGGATGATATTTTAAATGTTTCAGTGACACCCTATGAATCTATGATAGCTATTTTAATAACAATTTGTCACCTTTTCTGTACTCGGAAAAGGTCCAGCCAGTGATAGCGGCCTTGCTGTGAATATATTTACGTTATGTTTTCCAAGGACGATATTATTTAAGTTTTTGTAAGGAAATAGTCCGAATCCTTCCCCATTTCATGTAAGGTCTCACTAAAAGTACAGCAGCGATAAGGTATTCAATTAAACAATTACCGAACTATTCCATTCCATTTGGGTCTTGAGTATGGCAAAACTTGTAACTTGTAGGTAACGAAGGATACAAGTTGTGTTGTGTGTAGGCCTAGTGGACTGGGAATGGGTAAGCTGTATAAATAGCAGCTGGCGTCGAGATCCGTAGACATAGGCCTAGCGCCGCGACGGCCGCCAGCCCTCGTTAATTATTTAGTCTAAAAATGTCGTTGACGCCATCGCTAAGAAAACGACAGATTAGATGTCCATTCCTCGGTCCTGTAACAGTCGTTTCACTTCATTTACATCCTTCGCGGCAATCGCGGCTGTTCGTAAAAGGATTACTGTACCAAATTACTGCAATAATTTAAATATTGATTTTCGACGATGTGTAATTAATAAAAATACCGAAAAAAGTATACAATATTCAATTCAATAACGATACTCCTTCAATGTGATAGTGTTAGTAATGCGTGGAAGTGTCTTCAAAAGATATACTTGGCACAAATAGTTGGCACAACACGTTGGTATTTGCAAAATTGGACAATCCACAGAGGAAGATTGAGGCGATGAATAAACTTAAAGGGGGCTTAAAAGAAAACGTGCATTCAGTCTAAATATTGTATAATAATAATTTATCAGATACAACAAAAATTATCAGGATTGAATTAGTATTTTACCTAACGACTAATAATACCCCTAAAAAAGTTTAATTTAGATGGTTTTGCAAAATGGAAAAATTCTTGATGAAACGAAAATAGTTTGCGCCTTTGCGGGGTTGTCACTTATCCTTCTTCGAGTCTTATAGGTGTCATGGCAAATTGGCCTAACAAAGCTCTGGGATCCGTCATTATAGATGTAGGAGTAGGAGATACGGACTGGAGACTGGATGTCAATACACTTAAAAATCTGTGAAATATCCAAGTTAAGGCATATGTGCTGGAATGTGCCACCGTAGTTTTATATATGTAACACACATCTAATCAATTACAAACAAGACTAGACAGCATTCAGACTCTTTTTATTAGTGTGGAATTGTGCCACGATTTTCATGTAGTTTTGATTGAGCAAATCATCGTACATTTCATTTAGGATCTACCGAAGACAAGCTGCAGATCTATCTATCTTTTGGAAGCTGTTACCTGAAGAAGTCAAGAAGTTAGTGGACTCAACAGAAATCATTTGTCTTATAACTTTTCACGTTCTGGACACAAATTGGAATTCATCTGAGCAATTTCTTCCGTGCCAACGTGTTGATATGCTCACCAACAGCTTGACAAACTTATATACTAACCTACTTACGGTCAATTTAGCATCACACATCTTTTATATATTGTTTTGTTTTCTATCTCACAACTACCTCTATTTATTGTTTTTATTTCATATTTTTATTGTAAAGGTCCGATTGTGGATGTTTTATCAATTAATTTGAAATCAATGTTGTACTCCTTCTTATGTATTCAGTCTAATTAACTTTATTACAAGCAAGATAGAACAACAAGGTACAATTTAGGAACAATACTTATAATATTGATTTAAATGTTAGCTAAGCTTTATCGTTGTATGTTTTTTGATTAGAATAAAATTGTATAATGTGCCACACTGTATTGACTGTAAAATGAAGTATTCCATATTAATTAATAAATACAATTAAATAATTACAATACTGTACTTGTAATTCATTCTAGAGATGCAAAAATGGTCAAGCAAATTTTGCATCAAGCAGCTTTTACTTATTGATTTGATCTATAATTATTAATATAGTACATCGAGTTCTTAAGCAAATTCGTTTTAATAGTGTCGTTATCATAAACAAATTACAGAGTGGAGTCAACAATGGAATCAAAATGGTGAAATAGCTCCATGAAGCATATGTTTACATATTGTTGTGAAGTGTTCTTGACGACTGCGCACGCTTGAAATTCCCGCGCAACTCCGTTGGATGATGGGAGTTATATGTCTGCACGATCCTCGCAGGTTCGCCCAATCGCGCCGCAGCCGCAGATGTATTTCAGTTCTTTGAAAGTGTGGTCATCTGTTCTCAAAATATCTTTCAAGCACATTAGCCTGCTGAAATGCAAAACATCGTGTAGGAATTACTGTGAAAGTCTTCTTGTTATTTGGTGAATGTTTTTTTTCTAAAATACTTTTTTTATTCGTAAAGTGACTGTGTGTTTACGAACGAAAGTTATCATAACTTATCGTTGTTAAGTTTTCTTCAAAGTTTGTTAAGTTGTGTTAAAGTGCCAAGGAGTAAAAGAAAGACCTTGACAATTGATAGTTTATTTCTGAAATGAAGTTTTTCTCTAAACACCTAGTGTCGATGCTGTGATTTTTAGTTTGTGAGTATTTCTTAATACCATATTTAGTTTTTCAAGTTGTGTATCTCAACTTTGTTGTGTACAGTATTTAATGCCTAGTTTAATAAAGGTGTAGAACCTATTTTCTTTAAGTTAGGCCTACCCTAGCTCTTGTATAACTTAGGACTAGGCCTAGGTTATACCTTTGAATATTAAATACAACAACTTCTGTATGCAATAGTCAATGGTTATACCTACAGTAGGACTACCTACCTTAAATCGATGTTACGACAAGCACACAAAATCCGAAACTAACTTTAGTGCTAACCCAAAGAGAAGTAGGCCCACTTGATTTATTTTTAGTTTAGGCCAGGCCTAGTTATTATCTTTGTAGCCTATTTAGGCCTATTACTTACATATTGGTTTTTGGTTTTGTAGGCTATCCTCATAAGCTTTGATTAATGACCTCTGGCCTATCCCTAATTTTGAGAAGGAGCAAGTAAAAAAAAAAAACGAGAGAATTAAAAAATATGTTCTAACTTAAGTCTTTCTAAATTACCGTGTTGGGTAAGACTTAGCCTAGCCTACCCTTTATAAAACTACCTGGGTACTGTTCCGCAGAGAACATAATAATATACCTATATTAATATATTATTGGATTAACAACGGATAATCAGAATAATGAATAAGTTAATATTGGAGGTTTAACTTATCCAATTCAATACATTACATACAATCGATTACAAAATAAGCCTATACAAAGTAAACATTGAATTGATTTTATGATTTAACTAGAGGACCCATGCTGCTCCGCAGCGTTGAAATAACTTAAATATTATATCCCAGAAATAATCAAATTTATGATTTTTGAGTGAGTAAGTTAATACAGAAGCCTAGGTATCTTGAACCTAACTGATAACGATCAATGGCTAAAATGAAAGCCTATAATTTACTGATTATTTTGAGTAGGCCTATAAAACATATTAAAAACACATAAACAATACCAACAACAATAGGTACCGTACCATATTGATTTTTAATCATAGAAAAACCTTTTAAAAATGTCTTTTTTTGGTTGTTTACCTTGCGTTTGCTTTCAAACTCATCCGATTTGTATAACTAATAGGCTAGCTTAAATGAAACCTAGTATTTTACTGAAGTCATAAGTCTTTAGGTATTTGCCATTAAATACAATAAGTACAATAGGTTCGTCATTTAAAATAAGAACATCCTAAATCAAGTCGCTCAACAAATGCAAAATAAATTGAAGGTTCTTAGGATTATATAGGCTAATATATGAATACAAAGAATACAATGAATACAATGAATTTATTTGGCCAATCAACAACAACATTGTTACAGGCTATGTCAATGTACAAGCATAATGTACAAGCATAAAATAAAACATATAGGCCTATAGCCTAATAGGATTAGGTACGGTATATAATTATAACTGGTGAAATGCATCTTAAATTTAAGTAAGAATTTGAAAATAAATCAAATTTATGTTTTTTGGCCGATTAACACATTAGATAAATATGCCGAAGCTTGATGTGAAATCTGAGCCTCCCACACCTTCAATTTGAGACCTTAATCATTAAAATCGGTCGAGTAGAAGAGCCAAACAAACTCAGAAAGGAAAACGCAAATTTTTTAATTAAATAAGATGTTTCCCTTTCCCTTTAGTGTTGGTTTGTAAAAATACCATTTCATTACCGGTACCTACTGTTCACGATCAGAACTTCCGTAGATTCAACCTACTTACTTGTAAATGGTTATAAATTACCAACAGTAGGCCTATGGCTGTTTCCTCCCAACTTGTTGGTTTATTGATTATGCAACGTATCGGTAGGTAATTCAATCAAACTCCCAATATATTAAGTCCGTTTACAGAAATATGCATTTGTCATTATTATTTCCATGTATTAGCCTAAAGCTTTGACTATTCCTAAAGCCACATTTACCATTTTAAGTCTGAAGAACCAATCATATGTTGTGAAGAAACATTGATAGATTCTTACCAATTCCAGTTTTTATTCACGACATTAATGTTTCAAAACATCACCTACTTAGGGGCTCAGCCAGTTTGTTGATAATAGAGGGGTTTTCAATAAGGTGTATAAGCTTAGTGACTAGGCCTCTTTTATGCACGATGTTTTCTGTTGTGCGTTCTGTCAGGGAGTTTCTATACATGGGATCATATAGGACCCTTTTATGCTTGACAAATTCTCTGTCACGTTTCGGCGTTCAGTCTGGGGCATTTTTTACATAGGATCAAATGGAACCCTTTGATGCCACGGCTTTTTCCGTCGGGCGTAATGCAGCGCACCCAACCTACCCCGTGCTCTGTCATTCACAGTATCAAAACTTGCCTAGTCATTATAAATAGGCCTAGGTGATCATCATAATATATCAAGGAAGAGATGCAACTTAAAAAAAAATCTTGCATGGTGAGCATAATTAAGTTTTGGCCTACATTTTTGTTAAAATTCTCGGTATAATACAATCATTTCACAGCACACCATATCATTTTGCAGAAGCCCCATTCAGCCTATGACTTTGATTCACCGGGTGTACAGCCCACCTCCTTCCTCGTCGTATATTTTTCTTCATATACAAATAAGTCAAAACCAATATACAAGGGTCCATCTTAGGTGACTGATAATGGTGAAATGAAGAAAGTTGGTAGCACCCCCTGCCGTGGGTATCATAAAAATCCAGCGGGTTCCGCTTGGTGAAAAACCTGCATAAAAGGGGCCTAAATTCCGCCCGCAGATTTTGCCCGTCCGAAAACGTCGTGCATAAAAGAGGCATTAAACATATGTGATGCACTACAATACATTCCATCTTGTTTGTGCTTGTTGGGAGCTTTGTGTGTGAGGTTGTGGGATGTTTCCAGGCAATGGCTGCATCCATTATGGAGTTGCCAGACAACTCATCGGGTATCAATATTAGTGATGTCAGTAAGTATCACATCCACTGACTACTTGCTTATTTTTCACAGCTTTTAAAATGGAAATCTAGTGGTCAGTGAAAAAATACAATTTCCATTTGTTGCGGTGGATAAGAATTAGATTGGCTCCTTACATTGGATTACAATTACAACTTTTTTAATTAATGGTTTTCCTATGGTTTGCAAAGCTATTTGAAGTGCTTGATTTTGAAGTGTTTACTTTTGGTGAGGGTTTTGGTTTTGGCCTTTTTCTATCCTACTTTCTAGATTCCTTATGTTCTTTGCATGTTTACATTGCACTATTCACTCATTGATGTTGTGTACATAGTTCCGAATTATCAATTCTATACTTTTATAGCTTAAATGTCATTAAATTCTACAACTAAGTTAGATTGGCTTGGCGGAAATAAATTACGTAAAAAACTATGAATTGACAGGACAGATTCAAATAGTTTTTCCTCAAATAAAACTTCCCTAATGTGTTGTCCAATAAGGCTTTAAGTCTTTTGTCTTGCTAAGTAAACATAGCTGCGGTTGAATTAGTTGCAAGGTACTTATGTAAATATTAGGCTACGAAGGTGGCAAGCCTGCCTATAGTGCTTGCCTAGAAATCAAATGGTTTGACCCTGAAAACGTTTGGCTAAAGGTAAAACGTAAATGATCCTGGCTAAATGTAAACAATCAGCTGATTTTAAGAGTAACAAATAGATCATTGTGAGAAGCTAAACAATGCAACTCACCTATCCAACACTGTTTATTCTGCATTCACATTTGAGTTCAAACACAACCGTTGTTTGGTCTTTCATTGGTGACATAAAAGATGTGTTATTTGTCACTTTTTTATTTTTATTTATTTATTTATTTATTTACAGAATGCCATTACATCATAAAATGACAGGACATTTGTCAATGTCAATGCATTATAATACTTAAATCTAAATAGTAATAAATCCAAATAAAATAATTTCAACACTTAACCCTCCCAATTTCCACTTAAAAATTCATTTAAAGAATAAAATGTTTTTGTCAATAACCATTCTTTACATTTTTGTTTGAACTTTTTTGGATTTGCAATGTTTTTTAAATGATCAGGAATCAAGTTATACAATTTCGGTCCAATATATTGAGGTGATGCTTCAAATAGTGATAATCTATGGCTAGTGGGCTTAATTAGGTTCTTATGTCTAGTGTTATACCTATGGTTTGTGTGACCCTCCCTGAAAATGGACAAATTGTTGAATACCCAAAATAATGCTTCTAAAATATACAGGTCATAAAATGTCAAAACGCTAAAAGCCTGAAAGATGACTTTGCACGGACTTCTTCGGGGTACTTTAGCTATGATTCTAAGTGCCTTCTTTTGAAGCCTAAAAATCTTCTTACCATGGCAAGAATTTCCCCAGACAAGTATTCCGTATGACATTAATGATGAAAAATATGAATGATAAACTGTTAATTGAGTTTTAGTATCTGTAACTTGAGAAATTGTTTTGAGAGAAAATATTGCTGAAGAAAGTTTTTTCCGTAGTTTGTCAATGTGAGGAAGCCAGTCAAGATTTTCGTTTATATGAATACCCAAAAAATTGACTGTCTCCTCAGACATTAACTGATGATTTGTAAAAGTGGTCTGTTTTAAACTATTTCTATGATCTGATCGAAAATTAACTAGGCCTACTTGAGTCTTTTTCATGTTCAAGGAGAGCCCATTTACTCTAAACCAGTCACTTAAAGCGGCCAATTCTGTATCTACTGTGTGCTGAAGGGATTCAACATTGGGTCCCTTACATAACAGCATTGTGTCATCAGCAAATTGAAATACATCCATCTTTAACACATTTGGTAGGTCATTTACATAAATAAGAAATAGACAGGGGCCCAATATTGATCCCTGAGGCACCCCTACTTCAACTTTTTCCCAATTAGAATTTATAGTATGTCCAAATTTGATAATTTTAGTCCTTTGATATCTATCCCTCAAGTATGTAGAAAACCAATTTAGTTCCTTGTTTTTTATTCCATATTTTTCAAGTTTGTCTATTAACAAACTGTGATGAACACATTCAAAAGCTCTGGTTAAATCACACAGAACTCCAGTTGTCTTCTGAGATCCATCCAAGGAACTCGCAACACAGTTTACTAATTTAGTCATTGATTGTTGAGCACTTAATCCTTTTCTAAATCCAAATTGGGAATCATTAAAAATATTATTATCTTCTAAAAAAGTTCTCAATTGTAGGTCAACACATTTTTCGAATATTTTAGATATACTTGAGAGCATAGCTATTGGGCGGTAATTTTCTAAAGTGTTTTTATCATTTTTCTTATGGAGTGGTAAAATTTCGGAGTATTTTAGTTTGTTTGGGAAAATACCGTGCATTAAGGACTGGTTTATGAGATTACAGAGAGGAGTTTGTATTTCATCTATTACATGCTTAAGTAAGAACAATGGAATCTGATCCCAACCGACAGATCTTGTGTTATTTAAGGAAAATACAATTTTCCTTACTTCTGATTCGGTAATTAGTTTGAATTTAAATGTATTTTTGTAGTACTTTGAATCTATAAAATTCAGAGCCTCTTTGGCTTTAGGACTACACCCTACTGATGTATGTGCAGATAGAAAATGGTTGTTGAAATTATTAGCCAAATGTGTAAGTTTCAAGGAATCGTTTTGAACATGATAAGGTAATTCAGATTTTTCCTTTTGTTGTCCAAGTTCCCTTTTTGCAAACATCTTTGTCAAAATGGTTGAGAGTGTCCCTTTTACGCTGTCAAACAATTTATACACGGTGGTGAAGGTTGCCATGTAAGAAAGTGTCAGCTCATTTTTCAGGTCATTGCCTTTTGGCGATCTTTTCCAAAAGATACTGTTGTTGTTCCGGTTTTTGTATCTTATCCTTGCATTTAAAATCATTAATAATTTTTTTTTATTGTTATGTCTATATTTCTGTTTTAGTTGAAGTTATAGAGACTGATTGCAACAGCATGGATTCGACCAGACGAGAGGGTCCTTACATCAAGATTGTTGAACAACCTGCGTCCAAAGCACTTAGATTTCGTTACGAGTGTGAAGGAAGATCGGCTGGAAGTATTCCAGGTGTAAATAGCTCTACAGAGAACAAGACTTATCCTACAATACAGGTAACATCGGTTACCTACGATATACTTTGTGTAGCACCTGTTAGCATAAATAGCTCATGCAATTATGAGTACACATTGCAGTAAAGATTTTGTTATCTGTCACATTTACTGAAAATTCTTTCATTGATGATATTATTAGTCCCTTTATAATGGTTCTGACCAGTGTGATGTAAAGAGCTGGTTTGTACTCACAATGGTACAAAAACTGTTCTCCAATCTCCTAAATGGGCTTTTATGCCCTAACTTCTCCCTGGGTTCTAGTCTTAATCCATTTTCACCCAGAGGGTCTCAGAATTTTATCACTTAGATAAAATCCATTGGCGATTGACGGCATTTGAACCTGGGTCCTTAGGTACCAAAGTACCACCCTCGACCTCTAGACCTCTCCTGTTAAAAACTGCATGATTTTTGCAAAAGCAAATATCTCAGAAGTTTTATTGTAACCACTCATACAATTCGTTTATAATCTTGTCCAACTCAAAATTTAGGGAAGTAAAACTATAAAGTACAGTAAATTGAATGTCAGCTGTCTTGTAAAATTAGTATAATAATGTCTCCAAGAAGACATTCGCTGTTTCCCTTGCACGAACACCTAAAAAAGGTGGTCTAGGTGGGTATTTATCTTATTTTCTCAGGGTCATAAATCCCATTGGGTTTGATGTTGGTGTGGATTTCATCATCTAGTTGCTTCCTGAGTTTTAGATTTTGCTCTTCCAATAGTGATTGTTTATCCAATAATTTTTTTTTAATGATAGTCAATTGACTTTCTTTGGTGCATTTATTCTTTTTCACTGCGTGGGATGATTAAAAGCATAAGTGAAACTAGGTTGTTTTTACTTTAGATATAGTTAAGGGATGGTTAAACGCTGGTGTCTATGAAATCGTGTCTATGACATCGTGTCTGTGACTTCTTTCTTGTCTCAGATATGTCGCACATGAAACCAACCCATGTTAACAAAAATCAGAGCTTACACTCTGCTTGCGCCACATGTCCGGATCATCATCTGTGTATCGGACATATGTCGTGCGAGAGTGTTGGGTGAGACATGTCGTACAACATCACGCTTGAAGTCACTGGAACACATCCCCTGAGCAAAGAGTTTATTCAGCCATTTACAAAGCCTATGGATGAATCAAAATGTCTTTTGCACTTGTACAATCTTACTACAATTGTTGCCACTGTAAATAAATCAATAAAAGCACATTTTGTGTAGTTTAATCGACCATAGTGTTAAGTTTAATTGTGAAATATTCTTGAAACATGTGTCATCTATTCATAATTTGGTTTTAAACCACATTATCAGCACTGTGATAACTCAATGTTTTCTTTCACAGATTAAAAATTACAAAGGGAAAGTAGTGGTTGTGGTTTCGTGTGTGACCAAAGATGCACCCTATAAACCCCACCCCCACAACCTTGTTGGCCGAGAAGGTTGCAAAAGGGGAGTCTGTACTCTTGAGGTAAGAAGTAAAACTTTATTTTTTTTCTCATTCCAGTTTTGTTTTTTTGTTTTTATTTTTTGTGGATCGTTTTTTAGTTTGGTTATTACTAGGTACGATAAAATTGTAGTACCCTAACAGAATGTATTAAGTCTGCATTTCTAATGTGGGATTTAGTTTTTAACTGAGACTCTGGTTACTTATTTGGTTTCAAATTTAAGTTTGGTGCTTCAAATTTTAGTTGGTTTTTAATTAAGTTTTTCAAGTGGTATTTTGTTATTAAGTCTCTTAGAATATGTTTTAAGGCAGGATTATACAGTTTATTATAACTGTGTTTACATAGAGTACCCAATGCAAAAATCTTGAAACTATTTTTTTTAAACCATAAACTTGGATTGTGTTGTGAATTTTGCAGCGAAAACTTGTAAATAACAAAGGGTCTATTCTGGTTCGATTCCCAACTTTCCTGAATCATCAAGTTCACGTTAAAATCTTGGTGATTTCCCACTATAGTGGTAGTACTTTTTAGAATTTTTGTGTCAACATGCTTACTCTTTACATTCGGTAAAATGTTAAATATATATGCCTAATTTACATAACTATTTATTTCACTTCTAAAATTTGTTGTTTAATAGTCCAATAAACCATCCTTGTAAATGTAAAAATCCTTTTGTTGTAATGCATTGTGTATGTTTAAAATCAGAGTCTAATCAGATTGGGCTGTGAGGTGTCAACTGGATGCATTGCCATCGTCTGTTACGTTACAACACTTTGTGATGCCACCATGATCCCCCTTGTGCTTGGGCCTCATGGCTGTATTTTTTTTTTTTTTTTTTTTTTTTTTAGTTTGGGAACCTTGTTACAAATTTATAAAAAAAATATTTTCAGATTCACAATGACACAATGACCCAAAGTTTCGACCATCTTGGAATTCAATGTGTGAAAAAGAAAGATATTGAAGACGCCCTCAGGATAAGAGAAGAGATAAGAGTTGACCCTTTTAAAAGTAAGTTACTTCCAACTATTATTGTCTTGTCTTACTGTTTGCAATAGAATACAATGATTGCCCCTTAGCTATAGATCAATTGTAGCAATTTAAGAAACTTTAAGATTTATAAATAACTAAAGCTTGTTACCATTGATATATTTGCTAGATTTAAAAGTACCTACAGTAAGTTGGTAATACCAGTAAGATGTTAATTGTGCTTTACTAGACTTCTAGGAACTATGCATCTTTATCATGGGTCAGCCTCAAAAGTCGCCACAACTACTGATTAATTAATCATAACTGTTTTTTTGTGTACTGCACTGGCTCTATGTTTTCTCACTCAATTTGGACATTTTGAGTTTTGACGGTCAAAATAAGAAACCCTATATTCACCCCACAAACCCCGGTTCCCATGGTCCAATCATGTTGGTTCGCAAACTCATTCAAGTTTATCCTGGCTTACACCTTCAAACCAAATTTTATCAAAAGCGGAGAAAAATTACTCAAGTTATCGCGTTCACTGATGTGTTTATATATGGTACTTGTATAAAAAATTTGGAAGATTAGTGTTTTTGGCCTGTAAGGACATCAAAATGAAAAAGTATATTGATCCCGGCTCCAGGTCTTACAGTGCCACCTACGGTAATAACTACTTCCCTAAAGGGAAATTTGCTAAAAGTGTATCTTTCTCATAATTGCAAATCTTAAGTATACCTATAATTTTATTTCCTAATAATTAAGGTATGTACCTACCGGTTAACTTGGCGAGGATTTGTTGGTGCGGCCAAAAATCACCTCCAATATAAATGGCCCTGGGAGTAAGTAAATAATTAAAGTATGTACTCTTAAGGTTGTAGGACTGAAATAAGGCCTCCAAGAGTTGACAAAGAAATCGTGTTTTACTATTTGTATTAGAATTATGGATTGTAATATTAATGAGAATTACAATGCTGAGCTGAATTATCAGTGTTTTGCTTGTTTCAAATGTTGTGTTTTTTTTTGCAGCTGGTTTCTCACACAGGACACAGGCGGGCTCGATAGACTTGAATGCTGTCAGATTATGTTTTCAGGCCTTCTTAGAGGACAGACCAAATTCTGGAACATTTACAATTCCATTGGTGCCTGTTGTTTCAGAAATCATCTATGACAAAAGTTAGTGTTGATCTGTAATTGTTTAAAACATATGATACTATGTAATCCATATGTATATTTTAATTGAACGTTCCCGTAAGCTATAAAAGGTATAAAATTACCTGAGTACTGCCAGAGTGATCCAGAGACAAAACAACTCAAAATATGAAGTTCCCGTAAGATGTTTTTAAATTAGAGTTAGTCTTAGCTATACGGGTTGGATGTGTTCTAGCAAAGTCCTGTGCAAACTGCAAAGCAAATAAAGGAAGGACTATTTGTAGACTGCCATCACGGAAGAACAATATATTTCACTAGTACCCTTCTAAAAGATATAAAGCTTTTTACTTTATTATTGATTCTTTTTGTGGATAAAAAATTATGCAAAATTCTTAGATTTATTTACTAATACACTTTTTCCATACATTTTGTTGTGGCATTTTTAAGCCCTATAATCCAGGATATCCATTACATTCTGTTTTGTAGCTTCATCACTACAAAATGGTCAAGTCTGTATCTTACTCTTTTGTCATGTGGTTGCTACAAACAGGTTACTTCTTGACCAAATTCAGCCAGTGTGTGAATGTTTTAAGTAGGATTTCTAAAAATTTAAAGACGCTGCTTGTAACTTGTCAAAAGTAACTTTAGATGTAGTAAGGTACTAATATACTGGTTTGGTATTGATCAAAGTTTGCCAGTTTTATATTAGAATGGTCTGATGGTGTACTTGTGTTTTCAGAAGCACTTTGTGATCTAGCCATCTGCAGGCTGAGCCATAGCTCTGCCACAGTGGCGGGGGGTCTGGAGATGATATTGCTCTGCGAAAAAGTTCTCAAAGGTAAAATTATTATTTTATGTCTACTATTATAGGTCCTCTTACCCCTGGAGGTTTTACCTTGGAGGCAAAACACGTTTTTACCAAAGTTGGGTTGTATTTGTAATTTCTTTTTATTATTCTTTTTCTTTTTCAGTTTGCTTTTATTGCTGTAACAGAGCTGTTACTGATCTGAAAGAAAGATAGAAATACTTGTAGTTCTTTATTTCACCCATCTGATTATAAAGTGTAATTTCAGTTTAGCATAAACATACAGTGTTTTTGGAATATTTGAATCAGTAATACTACTCAGTACCAATTACTAACAAAATGTCTTTGAGAGTATGATAATTAGAGGATCTTGTACAGAATTCAAAAAGCCTCACTATATGGGAAGAGATCGGTTCAATCAGGTTTAGTGTCTTCCAAGTGAAAAATCCTTTGTCGATTGTGTTTTACTCCATCCAAAAGTTTTGTTAAAACTGCGATGGCTAATTTGCTTTATTTTTTAGATTGACACAAATGAGCTTTGATTGCCGAATGATTCGTGTTTGCTAAATGCTAGGAAAATTTCAAAAATATATGCTGCTTGACAACTTTTTAAATATTTAAATTTTTCCAGAAGTCTTTTCATGTCTGTCCAGAACATGGAATTGGAAAATGAACAGGACATTACTATTCTTGTGACACTTAAGAGCTAAGATTGTGGAATTATATAAAATTTAATTTTTTTATGATATAAAAAAAAATTGGGTCTGACTTGTTAATAAATCCTTGACACAAATAATCAACACAGCCAATTAAAATAAGAAAATTGCAGATGTAAATGAATTTAACTGATTATGGGGTTGTGTTTTCAGAGGACATTGCAGTGAGGTTGTACGAGGAGAAGAACGGAGAAATAGTGTGGGCGGCCAACTGTGAGTTCACCCCGGCCCAGGTACATAAACAGGTGGCCATCACGTTCAAGACCCCACGCTACCACACTATGCAGGTCCGTCTAAACAGATTCTATTAATTTTAGTCTAGCTTATAGCTGTAAATTTTAGCCTACCTTTTCTTGGGGTTTACTTTTCAAACTACGAGTATTTGCTGGGAGCAAGAGGATGGAGTGCACAATAAGGTTTCAAGTTCAAGTATGATAAAATAATACTACTACTAATAACTTGTACTTTCCTTGAATTTGTAAAAAAAACCAATAAAATAAATTGAGTCTTGCATTTTTTAGTTTCTCTTCTCATTTTTATTGATTATCAAACCCTGCTCTTGTTAGTAAACATCCACCTCTGTTACACAGTTTCATAATCAATGTGATTTTAAAAATAAAAATGAGTATTAAAACAGTGTTGTTATTTGCAGGTGGACAAGCCAGTTCAGGTGTTTATCCAACTACAGCGACCTTCCGACCATGAGACCAGCGAACCCTTGCCCTTCCAACTGACTCCACTAGACTCAGGTAGGCCTGCGTTCTGGTCCCTCCGTCGCTACCGCGCCGACTATCGCACCTTCTCTCACATCCTGTCTGCTGATACTAAGCTGCTGACAAAGGTTGACAATGTTGACAACCTCATCCCTGACACTGAAGAGGCACAAGACACCAACAACAACAGTCATCCGACCAAACCTCAGCCTTCATTAACAATTGTTGACCAATCGTCTCCCAAACCGATGGAGGTTCAACCCCAACCTCCATATACGGAGGTAGACACTGTTGTCGATAGTTGTCCGATCGAGCTAAACAACGAGGTTAAAAGATTTGAGGATGTCGCAAGCTTAGTGGACAATGTTGAGCAGAGTTTTGACGACCTGATCAACGAAGTTGACGACTTTGACGAAATAATGAGTTCAGAATTGAACCAAGAAATTCCAACCGTAAATGATGGAATTTACAGCAGTTTCCAAATGGCAATGAAGAATCCATTTGAGTTTGTCGACATGAATACATCAGGATACGAGGATGTACTTCCTCCTCCCCCCAGGCCTTTAGAGCCGAAACCTCTCATTAGGGATCAGATATTCACGGAAATGCAAAACGACGATATTCTCCCTCCTCTTCCCCCGAAGAGAATCAGGAAATCTCCTCCGAACAAAAACCTACCTCCTGTTCCAGAAGGGAAAAAGTTGAATATATTTCAAAAACTATTCTCTTCCAAAAGGAAAGATAAATCACGGAAAAATAGTGTTAGCTCGATGGGCAGCAGAAGGTCGTTGGTGGATGACAAGTCTGTTGTTGAGCCTGATGAAGTTACGTTGACTGAAGCTGAACATTACGCTTTGTACACAGCATTAGCTCCTCATGCTACTGCCTCTGAGTTTGACGAAGCCTCGTTCTACTACAGCCCTGTCGAAGGCTTGTCCCAAACTGTCAAATGAAGCCTTTAGGGCTACAAATGTTTTGTACGGATAGCAATATAATCAGGAATATGAAATATTTTCCTAAATGCTATACATTTATATCAAAAGCTTAGCTGATAAGTTTTTGTATTTAATATTTTAAGAAACGATTATTTTCGTAGTCTAGTCAAAGATGCTGAACTATTTACTCTTTTATATCGATGTGACTAATCTATAAATTATGTTGGAATTGTACACTTGTTGGATATGCCAGTGAAGGATATTTGGCACTAAAGATAAATATTAGAAATGCAGAATGCATTGCTATGACTGTTGTTAAGTTTGCGTAGAGTTTATGCGAGTTTGAGAGAAAGTCCTGCTGTGATAACCTCTTTCAGTGAGTACAGATTGTGGTTTGACATTGTGTTGTAGAAAGCTAACAATAACTAATGACTTTTGAGTTTTTACCTTATCAATAAGCTATTAAAAAGCTTCTTATGTGTATGTGGTACTATTTTAACTAACATTTTGGAAATAACCTTTTTTTATGCTATGTGATTTATTTAAAGCATGTATGCATTCTTTTTTTGGACACCAGACACAATCTCATTCTCAAAACATGCAATAAATGGCCTGCTTTTATTTGTGTTCGGAGTTTAAAGATATAAAAACTACTTTGATCATTACCACCCACCATTATATCCCTATTGCTGACCAAACATTTGGTTGAATCAATAAAGAAATCTACACAAACACCCGATTAAAAAGATTTATAGTTTTACTCTATTCGGCAGCAACGTTTTACTCAACACTTTGTACTATACACACTTGTCCCCCTGCACCTAACAGCTAAATACAATAGCATCAGACTATATTTGCTATGTTTGCTGTGGTTATTTTGATTTCAGTTACATTTTTATATTTAGTTTTGTTAATGTGATTAATTTAACCCTACACCCCACTCCCTTCCAATTCCAGTTTTCCAATTGCTGGATAAAGTATTTTTATTCATTTTCAAGCAATTTTGGGGTTTTCTCACAAAATACAAATGGTAAACGTAATACTGGGCTTGTCAAGTTTTGGGTGCAAAGTTTTAATTTTCTATCCTTCAATTTTCTGGCCTAAATTAAGTTTTTTACCTTGATAGATCCACCGACTTTCTTTGCGGACTCAATATTTGAAAGCAGTTTCTTGTCAACTTCATATCAGGATTTTTAAAACATATTTTTCTCTCTTTGCACAACAGATGTTCAGATTTTAAGGCAGAGCCATGTAGCTGACTGAAAAATATTATTTGAGAAGGGAGAATTCAGCAAGCTTACCAAATAAAATATAATTCAGGATGAATAAATACCCAAGATTGGTTACATTTACATAACCTAGTAAGCAAAAGGGTGTTGGTTAGATCCTCAGAAAGGTTAGTAGATTTTTGATGGCTAAAAACCGGACCCAACTGTCCTTAATCTTCCTGTATAATAAAGCAGATGGTCTTGGCCACTATAAGAGCTTTTATTTTTCAATTATCTGTCACATGTAGCCGAAATATCCGATCTGGTGAGTTACTGAGGGCCGGATTTGTGAGATATTTTCAAAGTAGGTATTTATTTTCTTATGTAAGGTAGCTGAACTATCTCTTTTTCCAAAGGGATAAAGTTAAACATCTTATATAATATTTCTCTTGTGTCTTAACTGGAAACCCAAATGACAATCCTTAGTTAAATAAATAAACTTTAAAAATGTATACATTATCATCAAACAGCAATTCACCCTTCAATTCCTCTTCTCCCGAGTTTGTTTTGATTTGCGTTCACACCTGATTGCATGGCTTGTGTTGTTAGGTTCTGTGTCAGGGGAGCAGCTAAACCGCAAGAAGCCACGGTTGAACGATGTCGATCGTTTGCTGATTGCAGACAAGGACCCATTACGTGAGTACCGACCATTCTGGGTGCCTGGGGGTTGGGCCGCTTGGTAATGCTTGGTTAACCTGACAAGCAAAAATGTTAACACCTTTTAGATAGGTGCAGAGTTTGTCATCGACGTTTTGTCATCGAAGTTTTTCCCCTATGTACACCATAAACAGAGAAACTGGGGGTTATATAATAAGCCATTGTATGATAATAAGTGAAAACTAAAATAATATGTCATTTATGTCAGACATTAGAACATTTTCTGTGTATGTGTAATTTAAAATTTACATAAACAATTTTCAATGGCAAGGAAAGTATCAAAGTTGATTTAGATGACAGTAACAAAGACTGATTTTGCTCCTCCAAAATGAATTGCATTTTTGGTTCAGCTAGAATTTTTGTTAGTGCAATAATAATGTACGGTATAAGAATGTCAAAGAAGCTCAGATTTCTTCAAAGATCAAACTCAATTTATATTGAACTCCTTAATAAGACTGTTTATTAAATAATTTTACTATTTCGTCCAAGTAGGGTTCTATTTTGGGGAACTTTTTCAATAACACCACATTGAATAGTATGATTCTGCCTAAAAACGTTCCTAATAAGAGAACCCAATGTGGCATATATGTATTATTTATATTTTATACATGTTGTTATTTTAACTCTAAATGCATTGGTCACTTTTGATTTTATTATTGCTTAGGTGGTTATCAAATTTAATACAACTATGTAGGGCTATCTCATTTTTAATTGGTAATCGGATATTCATTTAAGCAATGCCCAAGATTCAGTGTTCAACCAGCAATAAACAAGTATTTAAAATAGTATTTATAGTGTGTTAAAACCAAAGTCATGTTCAAAGAATGCTTACCGATTTGGAATATTGACAAAGTTGCAAGCCTCAGTCTAATTACTTATTAGCCTAAAATATTTTGTGATATATAATTACTGTCAAAATTTCACATATAATATTAATTCTACACATTAATTCAGTTTTTTTTTAAGATAACGATTCATTGATAACTGGCTAACTTTGAGCATAACCGAGGTTTAAAGAGGCTGCAAACACCTGTACGTAGTTGTATAGAATACAGTGTTAGAGTTAATCAACTAAATTTAGCTGTACTGTCAAGAGATAATTAACACTGTTTAGTAAAAGTTTAAAAAAATTGAATACGAAATTTATAGATGAATTAGTTTGACAGTCCTGTGTGAAATGTGGTTATGCATGAATGGGAAGTAAACCACCATCCCACCATGCTAAAAAAGTTTGTAGACAGGCGATGGCCTGTTACTTGCCTTCAATGGGAAGAGGTCCCTTACAACACTACTAAATGTGTCTCTTTTCCACACTAAATCCTTACTAAAAGGTATCATCATGTACGGTAACTAATTCATCTGTATTTATGATTATCTAATGTTTATTTAGTCTGAACATTTCATAACCATGTCTTACCTTCATGTTTGAGACTTGCTTATTTGTTTATTTATTTGCCAACGGATTTACACCAATTTAACAGTTTGATTGAGTAAATTGCATATTGCTTATTAATTGCTTATTATGACTAGATAACCCATAATAATAACAATGAAGCTTAAGAAGTAAGAAGCTACAATTGTATGGAAAAAAGGTAATGTAAGAAAATGTGTGGCATTTATTATCAAACATTTTACAAAGATAGTTTAAGCACAAAGAGGTGATGTTTTGGAGTTGTTTATTTGAAATCTACGAATTTGTAGCGATTCAGTTTGAATTTTGTATCACTATTAAGTTTGTTAAAAGTAGATATGTAATTAAATTGGTAGAAATCAAAATTCTCTTTGGGACAATTCAAAGAGAAGTTTGATTTGGTATTTGTAACTTGGGATCTCAATTCTGCAGCTTATAACAAGATAGTACAATGTATCCTGGATCGGTTATTATTGGATTGCGAAGCTAATAAAAGTGTCAGGGCTGGTCATGATTCGGTTGTCGAAGTTTGTAACGGTTAAAGATTTCAGTTTCCGTACTTAGTGCAATAAAAGAAGAGGCTAGAAGTTGTTGATTTTGTTAAAGAGTAACTTTTGTTTGGATTGTTTACTTACGATAGTTAACTGTTTTCAATAGTTTACAGTTTTGTTTGAGACAAGATTTATGTTTTCTAGTCAGGTAATGTCAATGTTCCTGTGGTTAAAGGTCATTATGTTTTGTATATTTTATATGTTAGTTATAGTCAAAAAAATTGTACTTTTATAATGAACAATATGAGAGTTGTACAATTTGGTTGAAGCTATTTGATTAAACTTTATGAATTAATTGCAGTTGTTTTATTAGTCACAGGTTGAGTAAATATGGTAAATATCTTAAAAGATAGGTTTTAAGACTTAGGTCACTTTCTTTTACCATAGATTATATTAGGGAAGTTTAATTGAAGATATGTTAAAAATGAAAATCCATAGCGTTACACTCATCAAAATGAAATATTTAACCCACCTCCTGGGTGGTAAATTTTGATACCACTATTTTCGTAAAAATATACGGTACTTTGGTATTATCCAGAGGCCACTTATTTTAGAGGGATATTTTTTACCGGGGAACCAAAACAAATACCTAATTGGAAAAAACATACTTTAATTGACTTACTGCCAAAATTTGACATGATTACGATCAGCAGCCTTTCGATCGGCGAGGATTGAGTTGAATGCGTCGCCACCGCTACCTGCCACATGTACTCCGCCAAGTAGGTATACAGCGCGCTGCGGCGGTTATGTTAGGTTGGGTTATCATAAATATGTCTGTAGGACTTTCCTCGTTTCGTTATGAATCGAACGATACTAGATGAGTCATGATTCAGAACACTGACACATACAGGCGGTGATGCGCGTGCTCTGGTCAACGTTCTTACTTTGGCTTACTTGGAGGGGATTTGGTGGGCGAAAGTATGACTAATTTTGTATCTTTCAATTCATAACGAAACGAGGAAAGTCCTACAAACATATTAATGATAACCCAACCTAACATAATCGCCGCAGCGCACTGTATAAGGGTGGCCTTCGGATAATACCAAAGTACCAAATATACTTGAGTTTTTAAGTTGTATATTTTTTACACTCAAACAGGTAAAACAACATAAAAGAAGAAAACATTTGTATATGCAACAGATATGTTTGCTAGCCAATTAGATTTCGAGCAAACTTAGCTGGAAATGTGTCTACTTAATTGAGTATACAAGTTATGGTTCAATATCAAATTTGACTAAGAAATGATTAGGCCCTAGTCATTCCGATGTTGAAGTTTTTGTTTTATAGAACTATACATTCCATTACCGTGTAACTTTTAAAGGTCTTGCTAGCCTCAGAGTCGAAATGAACGTAGTTCAATTCAGCAACATATTGAATGTGCTGAACGTAAACTGATTCCTGTAGAATTCTCCAACTTTTGTTGACAAACAAAACTGAAATGTTAACTTATTGTTGACCATAGCAACTTTTATGCCACATAAACTATCTATGAGTAGGCCATACTTCAGTGTAAAATTATCCTCTAGTCAAAGATGTCAGACTAACAACACTTTTGCAACTATCTTCAGTAATTTTGAATATTGTCTGCAACGTTCTCATTCCAACAGCACATGTACACTACTTCATGTAACAGTAGTGGCTAAAAATGTTAACTGATTAAATCACTTTGACTGATGTAAATGTTATTGTAAAGGAGGTATAATTTTGAGAGTTTGAAGATTTTCCCCCTGAAAATAATTATTTGTAAGACAACCCGTAATTTAATGGTCTGTCAGAATATTTAATGATTATAAAATGTTAATGATATTTTTCCAAAGCTCTTCCTTCATTGGAAATATTTTATGAGAAGATGACTGGATTGCTACAGTGTTCTTTTAGGTATGTTTAATAACAATGTCCAGTAGTTATTTGATATTTATTTTGTTTCTACTGTTTTGTTACTTAATTTTTACTTAGTGTTTGTTTTTCAAATATAACATAGTTTTTTAATAAGCAAACATTGACCTTGATAATTTTGTTGTAGCATTTATTTAAAAGTAATAATTGATTAACTGTATTTAAAACAGTTGGCTGATTTTGAAACTCTTAATTTGTTTAGACTTTTTACAAATGACTTCATATTGTTTATTGGTAATAAAATATATATTTGAATAAAGCAACTCATAAATAAAATTATGATTAATGGTAATTGAGCTTTCAATTTTTTTTAAACCTTGCAAAAAGATATACGAAAAATAAAATTTACTTTACTTGCTAAAAAAGTTTTCTAAATTGTATTTTGTCTTTATTTTCTGTTTTTAGCATGTTTTGTTCTTGCATGGTGACTCCAAAGGGAAAAGTATGTTGTTTTTTTTATAATTTTGTTTTTGTTACACTTTATTTTAAATTTTTTGCATTAAAATCTTGATTAAAGGTGCATCGTATAGTATATATGCCTCATAATTTGAACAGTCTTTTAGTTGTTTACTTTGCCAAAACATTAGTGTAGTAATTTTGTCCATACAACAACTAGTTTTACATCCTACAAAATGTTCTTGTATTTAGCACTAGCAATGTAGTTTTATAAAGGAATCCGTTATGGTAGTTGAAAGTAGCCTATGACTTCCTAGTTGATTTAGGAGTATTAAAACATACAACTAAGCTTGTAAGGACTGTAAGGTTAACATAACTCATGCTTGCTTGGTGTAATTAACCGTAATATGTAGATGCTTGGATAGTGCTTGCCTTTAATTTTATTTAGCTTCACTAATCCTTAAAGAAAGCCTTGCCATTATGACTATTTTTGCAGTGATATTTTATTTTAGCCAAGCCTGAAAATTTGTTTTGGATTTTAAAGACTAAAATATAAACACACATAAGTAAAATTATGTTAGTCGCTCACCAATCTCAAACTTGTATTGATTCTATTTTGATGACCAATATTATGCTATGGAAATGTATGAAAGACATTTATCAACAAAGCAGTCAGCGTTATCTCTATGTCACAGGAAAATTTATCGCGAGTAGTTTGTTTCATGGATGAAACGTTAGGCACGCCAATTGATGAATATTCTTTATTCTTAGTATTGTCTCCCATAGTCCCAAAGTCTATTTTGGGTTAAGGTATTATTGTTTTACATTTTTTTGTATTGGTACATTTCTATTGCAAAATGTTTGAGATTGTTGGGAAACTAACAGGATATACCTCAATAATGAATTAAATGTAAAATCATCAGTTTCATTTTGAAAACTAACACGTTAGAACATAATGTCATTGCCAAAGGCAGGAAACCGTGTTAAACCATTTTTATTGGTTATTTACATTACATAATTATTCTGAAATTCAACTCTTTAAAAAGAGAATTGTTTGCCTTTTTCCAGCTATTTAACGGAGGTATTTATGCATTTTACTTTATTATTTGCATCCTGGTATGATGTGTAACTTTGGCAGGCCTGTGCATTAAACAGCTGTTTTGTGTAGGTGCAAGCCCTCGATTGTCCCCGGGGCCCACTGTCAAAAGAGAACCTGCAGGTAAGCCAGTTTTTTTCAGATTTTTTACCTAAGTCCATTGTTTGTTATTACTTTACTGCGAGGGCAATTTTTTGAATTTTTTATTGTTCATATTTTTGTAATTGGTATACTTTCAGTATTTGATCTTGATACATCATTGTCATTACTTTTCATTACTAAAAAAGTTCATGTTTGTATGGCTTGGTATTTACATTAAAAAAATTAAAGTTATCTCTTTATAGAAGTATTTTTGTTAGGTTTACATGGATGAAAATTGTCACCCACAATTTATTTATACTAAAGAATAGTTTCCTTTTTGGAATGTGATTGGTTAATTATTTTTGCCTGATTACTGAGCTCTATTACTGTAATGTGGATTTAACTGTGAATAAAAATTATTTACCTACATTAATAAAAAGATTTTACCGTTTATTAATTGTGTGTTTATATTTACTTGAGTCACAGGAACCACTGATTTAAATTTTAATGTAAATATTTATTTAGGGTTAAAAAAGAAAATTTAATTTTAAATCCTCCATAATTATAATAATTAACAATGAAGTACATGTATATAGCTCATCTATATATTTAATTGGCCATCATATAAATTAGGTATAGGTCCAAACAAAAATAAATTGTTCAGTATTTTTATTCACTAACAATTTACTTAGTAGTAAATTTTTCTGAAATTTAAGAAATCTCTTTTATTATTAAAGAAAAACTACGATTGTTACTAACAATTCTTTAGGGCAAAAACATAACAATGTTCTATCACTTCATCCTGTTTAACCAATTAAATAATTTATTCCAGCGATAACAAAAAGCTTTATTAAATTTATTTACCAGTTTTACTAATTGTTCTAACATTTTGCAGATACTAGTCCGAACCCGTACTCAGTCTACAGTCCTGGAGCAGTCAGGGTGGCAAGTGTTTACCACCCTGACCTGGAATACAACCCCATGTTTTACCAAGCACTACCTTCAACCTCGATGGGTTACCAGGCGAGGACTGTCACAGTACCTTCACTCTCCGCTTTGAAACCCGTGGCCGTCAGTCCGGGGGCGAGACTGAGCCCCGCAAGTAGTCCCCAAGCCTTAGGTAGGGTGTCACCCCTACCTGTCGCCAATGCCGTAGCAGTACCTTCGGACATATACATGCGGGAGCCGCTGCAGAACGGTTCGCTGCTGGACATCTCCTCGTTTGTAGCAGAACCCATGGAGCATATCACTGTAGACTCTAAAGACTTCTCAGGCTGTGATATAAACCTGTCTGAAAACCTTTCTAACAACCTTCATCTCAGTGATGCCAACATTGTAAACCCTCTGCAGGAGAACATGACAGACAGTTTCACCAAGCTTGCCAACACGGCGTACTCAGAGTTTGAAGGAAAGTAATACAGTTATGGTAAACATCACAAAAGTAACAAAGAAAAGTTTTGTTGCAGATATTGTAAATTTCTTTAAGAATTAATTTTTTACAGCTCTTCCTGATCACTTTTGTTCTGCCTGTTTACCCTTTACAGAATGTTTTCCAACATTGGATATTTTATATACGTTCTGAATAGGACTTGTGTAATAGTTTTATGAAGAAATGTATTAACATGGAAAATTGTATAACATTAGAATCATTAACGGGGTAAACTGCTGTTATTTTTTTGTTAAAAAAAAACATTTTGTGCCTACAAAATGTAAGAAAGGTAAGTTATGTTATTTTTTGCTTAAAATTTACATTTAAAGACCCTTAATGGTGCTTTTTCATTCAAACCAAACCAATTTCAGCGTCAGGTTTTATCTTACGAATTCTTCATTTTTTTTTAATGACGTAGATTAAAAAAAGTCTTGACAGTTTTTAAATGTATATATGTGAAGGAGTGTATTATAATAATTCTGTAAATTTTGTACTAAACATAGTGATTTATCTCTTTTCTTCAATTCATTACAGATATGTAGTTTGATTTAATTAAAAAATTGTGGAGTCATATTTTTAGATGATCTCTAAAAGGAACAAACCTTTATTATTTAAGTTAGAATAATTCAGCCTATGTACAACACAGGGTAGTGATTTTCTTTGTACCTAACACATAGTGAAAGGGAAAAGCTATTTGGTAAAAATTATATCACATCACTTAAGTTAGGACACAAGCTCAAAAATCAGAACAAGGTAGCCTACTAGTCACAAACATAAACCACTGAACTGTGTCTATCACTCAGCTCTTAACTTAATTTCATCCATTATCTGATAATTACCAGCACTATGTTTATCGTAGAAAAAGAATTTTTATTAAAGAAGATATATTGTAAAGTGACAAAAATCATGCTGCAACCAACATTTGTTCCCAGTCCGTATTGTATGTTTGTAACATTTCCTGAGCTGTGATATAATTGTGCTATGTAACTTTGGTTGTTTTATGTTTTAAAGACCTCTAAATAGTTAAGGCTACTTGTGTTGACATGTTACCTTCGATAAGTATGCATTTAATGTGAGTTTTAAAATCAACGCTCAAACCAAGGGTTGTGTTGATTAAATGATTTTTTATCAAATTATGAAATTATTTATCTTTTTATCTATTTAGTTGTAAGTGTTAAAGTATACAAAGTGTGATTTATTAATTTATCTTACTTGATATTATTGATTTTTTTTATAAATGCTTTTTACTATTTGCTAAAATGCAATTAAAATGTTCTATATGATAATGAATTTAAAGGGTCATTTGTTTGAAAAAATGTTTCGCTTAACGTAAATTTAGACTTTGTCAATATACTTTATTTTTATTTTATGTAACTTCTACTGGCATATTTGATTTTTAATCCAAGTTCCTTTCACCTTTTTGTGAAGAAAACGTGTACTTTGTACATCCACTTAATTATAAATACAATCATCGAATCATCCATGTAATGATGTATATAATATGTTTAAAAAATTAATGACGGTAGAAATTTTATTAATATGCTCTGTGTTTTTAAAGAGATTCAAAATTAATGTTACGGTATTGACACACTATAATAGACTTTGCAGTAAATTTACCTATAAGGGGGAAGAGCTACTCAAATACTATTTGTCATAGAGAAAAAAGATTTTTTTAAATTCTCTTCTGGTGGAGACCATGACAATAATAAGGCTCTCAAAACATAAGTTTGTTGAAATAATTTAAGCCATACAGTAGTCACATAAAGCCTGTTTCTTTATTCAAACTACTAGTAACAATAACAGAGGAACATATCATAAATGAGTAAACACTCTTTGTTATTTACATTTTGTTGATGAGATGTAATTATTTTCAAAGATTAACCATGAGGTCAAAGTTCGCATTAAATGAGAGTATATTCATTCTTTCTGTAACCCTTACTTGTTATGTACAACTGCAAGTTTGATCAAGACCCTGCATTGCAAAATATTTATCCAAACAAAATCCATGGCAATTTTGGATTATGAAATTTGTGTATTGAAAAGGCTAACATGATGCATAACTTGTTGTAAATAAGGTAATCATCATGTTTAATCGTGTATAAATGCAGAACTATATTATTTAATTGTACATAGAAAAGTTCTATTTACAAAGAACGTTTGAGACTCAATAAATTAAGTGTAAAAATAATTTTAGTATAAACTCAAAATATTCAATGTACAATAGTAAACTTTTTTACTTTTAAATATAAGTAGATTATGTTGGAAGATGTATATGCACTACAGTAAAATAAGCAAGCTTTTAATACATTTATAAATGTTGTGCAATAAAATGTTATATTTGTTCTGTTGATTATTCAAAGTTTCTGTTGATTATATGACATCTTTATTAAATACATACCATTGAAAATGTTAACTAACGTTGTTATTCCTATAACCAAATCAACCTGAAAAGAGTTTCTTATTTGAGAGAAAATAATTATTGTTAAATTGGTTGGTTCATAATATTATTATTCGTCCTGGATTGAAAATTGAGATTTGAAAGGTTTCGTGATGAGTATATTTTTAAATATTTTTAAGATCCTAATGAACAGTAGAGAAGTCATAAATGCTCACCATAGTCTTGGGGATAAACATGGTCATAACATGAATATATTGCATTTTAGATAGGTAGTTTAGCATTTTCGTAACTAGTTGGCGTCCGTTGCAACACACGCAACATTTTTACAATGCAATAGCAGGTATACCAATTTTAAAATTCTGCACCGTTTAGTCAACAACTGGCCAACTGAGGGCAAAATATTTAAAACAGTGTGGATATTAAGAAATTGTGGTTTTTTCACATGGCGCTCCCAGCTGTGTGCGCCAGAACATATGGTAATCGCAGCACAGCAGTGGTCTATTTAATTCTTTTTGTCTATGATATCATAGAACCAACTAGTGTAGTTAAAACAGCATGCAAAATTCTTTAACTCCTTTTAAATATGAGTAATCATAAGGTTAACATGAGAAACTCAGGAGTCACTGGGGCGGAGCCTGAAAGGATTTTTGAGATAAGAATATGTTAATCGGGAATGTGATCCATCATCATACAAAATTTCAACCCAATCCAAACAGTAGTTAATGCGTGATTGAACTTCAAACAAACACACAAACTTTCACATTTATAATATTAGTGTGATAATGTACAAGTTCCATTATTATGAGAATAAATTTGCTGTGTAGAATAATAATTCTGTTGAACGAGGTGTAAGCCCGTCCTACGTACGGGAATTCAGTAGTCAGTTAAAACCGTGTACAATACAAATCAGCTAGTTTACACATATAAAGACAAAGTTTCTTGCAGTTTTAATGTGAAAAATCATCTTGTAAACAAATGTTGTGTGACCAAATATGTTTTTATTCCATCATAGGCCTATACGATATGCATTTTATATCCGATAATTTTACAATAAAACAGCAATTCTGCAATTTTTACGATGTGAAAAGCGTTGAAGTGAGATTTGCAGCCGATTCGCACAGACGCACACTGATTATAAGTAGCCTACAGTAGAGAGAGAGTAATAGGGAGTATGTTTAATCTATGGTAATAGTCAATTGA